TAGGGATTCTATGATTCTATGATAGATGCTGCCAGACCTGCTGAGCTTTTCCAACAACTTTGTTTTTGTTCCTAGGTAGGAGTGTGTTCTATCTGCAAGATAGAATACAGAAATTCCACCAAGGTTCCTTAGCATCATCCAAACCCACAGCCACTTCCATCTACAAGAATGGCAGCAGATAGATGGAACACCATACCTACAAGTTCTCCACCAAGCCATGCACTGATTTGGAAATATATTGCCATTCCTTCAACATCATATGGTCGAAATCCTAGAACTCCTTCCTCAAAAGCATTGTGGGTGTATCTACACCAAATGGACTGCAGCAGTTCAAAAAGGCAGCTCAGCAACAACTCAACTAGGGATGGGCAATAAATGCATCAGCCACCAACACACACATCCCTAGGTGCATAAAGGGACAGCTGTGTTTGAATTTTAAGCATTGGTAAAAGGCTACCAGGTCTAAGATGCAAGGGACAGGCTTGAAAAAGAGATACCAATTTATTTACTATAAGTGGATGATTGACTATTGGTTGGCACAGCCAATGGGACATCCAGTTTGAAAAAAAAAATCTGCCAGTTGTTCGGAGTACAACCTACATACATGGCTGCACACAAGTACTGAAATTCATCTCATTAAACATCAAACAACAACTTTCCTTTCCAGGGTAAATCAGAGGTAGTCAAGGTTCAGGGGAAAAGTGATGGTCATAAGCTTTTTCATGGATAGGTATAATATACCAAAAATGACAATTTTTTTTTCAAACTGGATGTCCCATTGGCTGTGCCAACCAATAGTCAATCATCCACTTATAGTAAATAAATTGGTATCTCTTTTTCAATATCTCATTATCACACAGGATAGGTTTGTACACAGGTTGCAAACTCCAATAACTGGCAGACCTCATCAAACACCATAGCCTGCTGAGTACTGAAAACAGACAGCATGTCCATCGTGCTCAAATCAGCCTGTGCTTGCAAGCATCAGAATACCATATCTAGCATCAGATGGGATTCTACGATTCAACATTCATTAAATAATTGTGCTAAGAATTAGGCTAGAAATTAATTTATCAGACAGACTGATATTTGAGAGCCATTTGTGCACAACAGAAGCAACTCATTAACTCACAAGAACCTGTTTTGTGTAAGCAGAACACAACGTGTATTTTGAAAACCAAATGACAGAGATTGCCAGCCTCTGAATTCCCATGGCAACACACTGACCAGTGCCAAATTGTCTAGTCTTTAAGCAAAGATTGACAGTTAACTGCTCCTACTGCCAATCTGCACTCGTGCCTTATGCTGTACAAATCAATGTCACTTTTTTCAAGGTCCGAGGAAGGGTCACTGGACCCGAAATGTTAACTGATTTTTTCTTTACAGATGCTGCCAGACCTGCCGAACTTTTGCAGCAACTTCCATTTTGTTCACTTTTTTCAAGTCTGTTTCTTGTATCCCAATCCCAATGAGTACAAGACCAAGTGCCTTGATTTTGCTAAAAGGAAACAAATCAATTTTTTCTGGATGAAGTAACAGACTGATGAGGGTGATGCAAAACAAAATTCGAAATTTCAGGGCGACAGAACACGGAAGCGTTGTTAACTGCAAAAAAAGAAAGATTTTGAAAGAATATAGACATTCTTGTGTAACAGCCAGAAAATGGCACCTACATTTATTACTGTAGAGGCAACATGGTGTTATTGTCATTGGACTAGCAATCCAGAGACCGTAGCATGACCACTGGGGACCTGAGCACAAAACCCACCTCAGCACATGGTGGAATTTGAAATTTATTTTAAAAAAACAGGAATGAAAAAAGTCAACGACAACAGTGAAGTAAGTAACAACAGTTTGACTGCATTGTGGAGTCTTTCTTTTCAAGTCACTCCTGGGGCGTGGGCATTGCTGGCTGACCAGCATTTATTGTCCATCCCTAGTTGCCCTTGGGAAGGTGGTAATGAGCTGCCTTCTTGAACTGCTGCAGTCCACAATCTGTAGGTAGAGAAAAACAGCCTAACAAACCACTGTTGCATCAAAACATAAGAAGTGTCAAAAAAAAAATGGAATGAAACCGGACCAACCAGCTGCTATCTGCCTAGGCAATGGAAACAATAATGACAAATTCAACTAGCATCTGGGTTTTTCACCAGTATGAAAATTGGGAAAGGCATCTCACTAACTCATCGATCAACAGACAGAGATGGTCATATTCATGTAGTCGTGCCTGCAGACGACATTCCAGACATGCCCTGTCCTGCTGGCAGAACAGATTCAATGGAGATGATGGCACAGTGGCGATGAGGGAGGAATTGCCTCAGTTCTCAACACTGACTCAAGACCCAAACAAACTTCGTAGCATCAGGTCAAATGTGGGCAAAGAGACGTCCTGCTGCTCACTATTTAATATCACATGACAGAAGAAGTGGAATGTTCACTTATAACTGCTCAATGTATACCAACATTTGCAACTCCTCAGATACAGAAGCATTCCAAGTCCAAATGCATCAATATCTGGACAACACTCAAATTTGGACAGGCAAGTAACAGTCACACTCCAAAAGTGTCAAGATCATTTCCAAAAACACCGCCCCATAACATTCAAAGACATGGCCCATCACGGAATGCTCTATTAACTTCTTTTTTGGGAGCGGCGGCACTTCCATTGACCAGGAACTGCACAGGACCACGATAAAGATTATTGCTACAAGAGTCTTTCAGATGATAGGAATCCTGCAACAAGCAAATCACCTCCCGGTTCACCAAAGCATGTCCACCATCCATAAGATACAAGTCAGCAACATGGGAATACTTCCCACTTGCCTGGTTGAGTGCAGCTCCAACACTCAGGAAGCTTGATATCCATCCTGGGCAAAGCAATTCCCTTGAGCAATCCACAAACACTCACCTCCACCACCAACAAAACTCAGAAGGATTATCCTATAGTTCTCTAAACAGTCACCAATAAAACAATATCTTTCCTTAAAAAAGGGCAACCAAAACTTCAGTCTTCCAGATGCAGTCTCACTAGCATCTTGTACAAGTTGCAGTTAGATTTTTCTACTCTTGTACTCCAACCCTTTCGACTTCCTGATTACCTGCTGCATGTGTGTGCTGTGTTTTGTGCACAAGATGCACTATAGAAATTCATAATGACTCCTTACAAAACTTTCAAACCCTCAACTACTACAAACAATATTAGATGGTGGGAACACCACCATCTGAAAGATCTCCTCAAAGCTACTGACCATCCGACTTTGAAATATATCATCGTTCCTTCAGTCACTGTCAAAATTCTGAAATTCCCTCTCCATCAATACTGAGTCAACCTACACAACATAGACTAATTGTTCAAGGTGGCAGTTCACCATCACCTTCTCATGGGCAATTAGGATGTGCAATAAATATGGTCCAGCCAGCAACATCAACTTCCCCTGAAACATATAAATAAGTGAAAAAAGCCATTAACAAATAACTTAAATTCCCAGCCTGTATAGGGAAACAATCACAGGCCAGGGAGCGCAATTGGTCAGTAGATTCATAATCCAGGGACAACACTATATCACAGGATTCAAAATAACTCAAATATTTTATTCAAAGGAAGTTATTTTTACTGAAAAGTATTGAAATCAATTCCCCACACTCCAAGTTCATTGGAAGTTGGGAATTTCATTTACTTGAATTTGCTGGTATTACTTCAACATTCACCATATTGCCAGAAATACCTTTTACAGAGGGAACCTGCAATTGGCTAAGGACTTCAGTGGTGTTAGTTTGTGTAACCTGCAAGACTACTGACCAAGTACTGGAAAGTAATTATAATTTCATTAAGCTCCTCTTTTCCTTCAATCTCCAGATTACCGGGATTATTGCGTGTATTACCGGGATCATTATTTTTGAAAATGGAAGCAAAACATTTGTTCATCATCATCAGCCATAGAATCCGTAGTGTGGAAACAGGCCATTCAGCCTATCGAGTCCAAACTGACCTCCAAAGAGCAACCGACTCAGAACCACACCCCCAGCCTATCCCTGTCAAACTTTTTCCCATGGCTAACACTCCTAGCCTGCACATCCCTAGATACTATGGGCAATTTAGCATGGACAATCCACCTAACCTGCACATCTATGGACCATGGGAGGAAATACACGCAGACATGGGGAGAATGTGCAAACTCCCCACAGACGGTTGTCTGAGGTGGAATGTGAACCCAGGTCCTGGCATTAACCACTGAGCTACCATGCTGCCCCAATCACTGAGCTACAGTCCACCATTTCCTTATTACCTATTAATTCTCCATTTCCACCACAAGAGCCAATCATCACTTCACTTTGCAGATTCTGAAAAGCACTTGCTATTTGGTCTTAGATGTCAAGAAAGCTTTCTCTAATTTATTTGTGTTTTAGCTTTTCTCCAGTGCTCTTTGCATTCTGACCAGATGAGAAACAGGAGGGGCTCGAAAAAACACCAGTGATAACAGTACAAGAAGTGCAGCCTGCTACAAATGAGTAAATAAATCTGAAAGCAGACCATGGCAGTTACAGTTAGCTGGGCAATAATGGACAGACATTAGCAGAGAATGATTCAAAGACCATAGACAGGTTTAGGATAGTTTACAAAAAAAAAACTGCAAGTGCTGGAAATCAGAAACAGAAATTGGAGAAACTCAGCAGGTCTGGCAGCATCTGTACAGGGAAAACAAAATTAACATTTAGGTTTCTGAATGAGGGTCAATGGACCTGAAATGTAAAATGTGCTCTCTCCACAGATGCTGCCAGACCTGCTGAATTTCTCCAGCAATTTGTTTTTGGTTAAGATCGTTTATGTAACTGAGACAACGATAAACTAAAATTATACCTTTGAAATTAAAATGCTGATGGAACACTGATTTTGTAAAATTTTTAAAAGTTATTTAAGTTATTACAGTTTAAAACAAGCAATGCCAGTGGTTTAAGTTAGCACTAAATAACTGAAGCTCTGGTTATGTGGAAATACTTACCAGCAGAAATTTATGATTCTTACAGGAAGTAGAAAAAGGAACCTGGTCATTACTGCATCGTGGAAGAGTCTACTTGAAGCTGCATAAACAAAAAAAGGGTTCCGGAATGTGGCATTTACAGAACCAGCATATCTTTCACCACTAACTTCGAACAAAACGCATAGATGGTGAACCTTAGTGCACCTCGGTAATTCACCCCATTTTAACTTCAAATAGCTTAGTATGGATCGTTTACATAACGAGTCTCTTGCCATAATACCATTATCTATCTCTCCCCAGTGACTGCAATTGACCCGAGGAAAACTAACATTTTGTTGTAGTGTGCAAAATCAAACAGCAGGTGTCAACCGTCAGCCCACATGGTGAAAAACAACGCCCGAGCTAACAAGGTGTAGAGCTGGGTGAACACAGCAGGCCAAGCAGCAGAGGAGCAGGAAAGCTGACGTTTCAGGTCTAGACCCTTCTTCAGAAATCAGATTCTCCAGCATCTGCAGTTCCTACTATCTTGAAAAACAACGCCTGCCTGTTTTTCCCTCCACCAGAGCTTTTTGACAGACAGTGCCTATCACAGAAATATTACTGCACAATACTGAAGTATGCAGTCTACATCATTAATACAAGCAGTTGGGCAGTCAAATACAGCCTAACAGAACATAGACGGCAGTCTGTCTACCAACATTTCAACCTATACATACAATCTTCTTACATACATCAGATAAACAGCTAGTTCATAAGTAGAAAGTAGGGATGATCAGAGAAAATCCTACAGGAAACAAATATGTCCAAGGTTTTGATGTAAGGTGCTAAAAGTTTCAAAATATTCTTTAATGTCTTGGACATAGTCAAAGGCAAAATTATAGAATCTGAACAGCTTAGGGATATCTGGACAATTGATAACAAATAAGGGCAAAATACTATAGATGCTGGAAATCTGGAACAAGCAATGCTGGAGAAACTCAGCAGGTCTGCTTCAGAACTGAAGAGTTATACTGGATTTAGAACATTAAATTTCTCTCTCCACAGATACTAGCAGATCTGCTGAGTTTCTCCAATATTATGTATTCAGACAATTAAGCAACTGATTAGGAAATGGCAAACGGATTATAGACAAATGTTTTTCATCGGTTCATGAGGCAGCCCACCATCTCAAGGGCAACTACTGATGGCCAATAAATGCTGGCCCAGTTAGGGCCATAAATGAATGAACTGAAGAAAAAGGGGATACTGAAACAGGAATCAGCAAAAAGATGCACAAAAGAGGGGATCCCTACAGAAAATATTTGGATGTAAACTTTCAATCTCATACTACAGCTATCCCAACACTGATTTTGGAGGATGAGAAGTGAAACACAAGATTCTAAAGGGGCTTGATAGGGTGAGTGCTGAAAGACTGTTTCTCCTTGTGGGAGAATCTAGAGCCAGAGGCCAGAATCCCAGAGTTAAAAGGTTGCGCATTTGAGACAGTAAGAGGAAGAATTTCTTCTCTCTGAGGGTAATTATCCTTTACCAGTGGGCTTTCAAGGCTGGTTCACTAAGTATATTCAAGGCAGAGACAAACAGGAAGGAAATCAAGCGTTCAGGGGACAGGGCAGGAAAATGGAGTTGAGGATTCAGTCCCATGATTCAGATCAGCCATAATCCAACTGAATGGCAGAGAAGACTAAATGAGGTGAATGACTTACTCCTGTCTCCATGTCTTATGATCTTATTCTTAAATGGAAAGAAGGCTACTTCCTACAAAATACTGTGCCCAATCAGAAGCAATACAAGGTGATAGCAGCGTAATGATTTTGTGCTACAAAATATCACAGACTTAGAGATAAATACGTAAAATTTTAAGAAACGTTAACATGGTGCCATCGCAACAGCCTGTTTGGCCTGAAGTAAGAACTTACAAATAGAAGGCACAAAGTTTTTCTCGTCTCTCCACAGTGAGAGTCTTTTAAACTGATCCAAGAGTTTGTAAACATTTTAAATAAAAACAGGAACTGTTGGAAAATTCTAAGCAACTTTTATAGTATCTGTCAAATGCAACGCTACACCTGAATCCTTTTGAAGGGTGTAACTATAGACTAGTAAGTTTAACTTTGGGGAGATTTCTACAAACAACAGCATGACTAAATTATTAATTGAACAAATGCAAAGTAATTAAGGATAGCAAACGTGGATCTGACAAGTCCCATTTGCTCAACAGTTGGGAGTTTTCTCAAGGCATAACACAAAGGGTTGAGGACACTGCATTTGGTCTACAGTGACATACAAAAGACATGGTACAGCATCACACAGACACTAAGTTATACCTCATGGAATAAGGGGGATAGTAGCATTGCAAATACTAAATTAGATGACTGACAGGAATGAATATCGTTAATGGGGCAAAAACAAAGCTGCTGGAAAAGCTCAGCAGGTCTGGCAGCATCTGTGAAGGAAAAAGAGTTAACGTTTCGGGTCTGGTGACCCTTCCTCAGAACTCAGGAAGGGTCACCGGATCCGAAACATTAACTGTTTTTTGCTTAAATGCTGCCAGACCTGCTGAGCTTTTCCAACAACTTTGTTTTCGTTCCTGATTTACAGCATCTGCAGTTCTTTCAGTTTTTATATGGTTAATAGGAGTTTTATCAGACTAAAGAAAGTTTGGTCTTTCCATAGGGCAATGCTAGGACCCTTACTCTTCCAGCTGTATAGTAATAATATAGGCCTTGACGGACATAGTACAAAATTCAAAATCTGAGAAGCATTGCAAACTTTCATATTAGACTGGGAGGCAGTGAAGACCTTGCAGCTGCTCCTGGGATTGCAGGCTTAAAGATTTATTATAGTTTTTTTTTGAAAACAGTTATATTTCACTAATAAGATTTTTATAGGTACATGAACAGGAAAGCTTTGGACGGATATGGGCCAGAAACAGGCAGGTGGGACTAGTTTAGTTTGGAATTACATTCGGCATGGACTGGTTGGACTGAAGTGTCCGTTTCCGTGCTATATAACTATGACTTTATAATACAGTAGAAACTGATAAATGGACAAGTTAGTGGAATAGGCAGATAAAAAGGAAGATCAAAGTTCAATCTGAAGTGAGAAGCAGTTTATTTTGGTAGAAAGATTGTATATAGTTCTGGTCACCTCACTGTCAGAAGGATGTGGATACTTTGGAGAGGGTACAGAACAGGTTTACCGGGATGTTGCAAGCCAAGTTTTTCACACAAAGGGTGGTGAATGCCTGCAATGTTCTGCCAGAGGTATTCAAGAAGCGCCTGGATGAATACATGAATAAGAGAATAGAGGGACAGGGATCCTGTAAGTGAAGACATTTTTAGTATTAAAGGGCAAAATGTGTCAGCACAGGCATGGAAGGCCGAAGGGCTTGTTCTTGTGTTGCATCCTTCTTTAAAAGACAAAATAGAGAATAAAGTGCACAACATGAAAGCAGGTGCAGAACAGATGAACCTGGGCACGTAGATGCACAAATCATTCGTAATAGCGTTACAGGTTGTGACAGCAGTTACTGCTATATGCAGCATTCTCAATATACCATTAGGGGCACTGAACACAACAGCAAGGAGGTTTTGTTTGGCCACTTCTGGAGTATTTTTTCCAGGCATCGCTTTTTGGGAAGCATTTAAAAGCAATGTAGATAGTACAGATAAAAGGGAGGGAGAGGGGAGGGAGGGAGAGTCCAAAATTAACATTTGAGATGTGTGTTCAAAACAGCAGTGAAGAAGTTGTTCTTGAATCCATTCATTTGTGTATGCCAACTTTTATATCTTATATCCATCAGAAGAGGGTGGAAGTAAAACCAGGATGGGAAGAGTCTTTGATTATGTTGGTTGCTTTCCTAAGGCAGCAGGAAGTACAGATGGAGTCAATTGATGAAAAACTAGTTTCCCGGATGGACTGGGCTCTCTAGTTTCTTGTGATCTTGGGAAGAACAGTTGACATCCAGATAGAAGCACCATAGAAAACATCCTCTTAAAACTGCTAAGAGTCCTTGTGGATATGCTGAATTTCCTTAGCATCCAGAGGAAGTAGAAATGTTGTGCTTTCTTGACAGTCATGTCAATGAGGATGGACCAGGAATAGATTGTTAATCATCACTCCCAGGAACTTGATGCTCTTGACCATCTCGACCTCAGCACTGATGCAGACAGAGGTATGTCCTCCATTCCACTTCCTGAAATCAACGACCAGCTCCTTCGTCTTGCTGACGTTGATGGAGAGATGGTCATCTTTACACCACGCCACCAAGCACTCAATCTCTTTCTTGTATTCTGTATTGTTGTTGTTTGAAAGCAGATAGACAACGGCGTTGTTTACAGCAAACTTGTAAATGGAGTTGGGGCAGAATTCAGCCACACAGTCCGAGTGTATAGGGAGTATAGTAGGGGGCCGAGTACTCAGCCTTGCAGGGCACCGGAGTTGAGGATCATGGTGGAAGTGGTGTTATCGCCTACTCAGGCTGATTGCAGTCTATGGGTCAGGAGCTCAAGGATTCAGTTAGAAGGAGGAGCGGAGACCTAGGTCTCTGAGTTGAGATGAATTTGTTTGGAATTATGGTTTGAAGGTGGAACTGTAGTCAATAAATAAAAGCCTGACAGAGGTACCCTTGATATCCAGATGTTCCAGGGATGAGCGTAGGGCAGGGAGATGGTGCCTGCCATGGACCTGTTGTGCTAGTATGCGAATTGTAAAGGATCAATGCAATTTAGTAGGTTGAAGTTGAGGTTAGTCATGGAGTACAACGCAAAACACTTCATAATTACGGAGGTCATAGCCACCGGGCTGCAATCATTGCATGTACGTTACATGATTTTTCTATGGCACCAGGATGATGGTCTTCCTGAAGCAAGTGGGGACTTCAGATCATACTAAGTACTTCTAAGTCAGCAGCCAAAGCTCTCTCTTTTCCACTGCCCCAGAACACAGTTACCAAATTAAATTTTGATATCACAGCAATAACAGACCTCATCATCAGTGCAGACTCAATTGAAAACACAAGCATATTACTGCTTCATTTAGGAGTGGTGAAGGACTTTGGATGATAGAAGGGAGCAGGCAAAACATTTTGAACAACCCTCAAAATTCTTATCTATACT